TTTGAATCAAACAACAAATCTTAAAGTTGAAATTTCAATTCAAAAGCTTCAAGCTCAACAATGGCGGGTCTTTAAAAATTCAATCCCAAGCACCTCAAATTAACTCCAAATGAAACTAAATTTCGGTGTGATTAATATCCTTTCTTGTACTATAATATGTCATCTTACTTAAAAATCACATTCTTGCTACAAGTATAAATGCTTAAGCTTAGATCATTCCCTATGAGAATCCACAAAAAGAAAATATGTTCATCATATATGTTAGGAAAGTAGTGATTTATCCATAGTCTCTATAAATAGTTGTATTAAATAATGAGTTAAGAACACAAATGAGAAATGGGGGAAGATGGTCATAGCAACAATGATGTCGTGATTTGTGAATGCAACGCCTTGGCAAAAGATAAGTGAAGGGCGGGTAATTATTTTTAACCATATGGGTAGTCTTTGTAATTAGTTTGAGGGTAGAAATTAGTTTAGGTTTTATGGATATTTTGTGTAGATTTCCATTATCAGGAGATTGGTGGAACAATACAGAGATAGGAAGAGGGATTTGCACATGATGTTTATTGACCTACAAAAGGCGTATGACAAGGTCCCTAGGGACGTTCTTTGGAGATTCCTGGAGGTGAAAGGTGTGCTGGTATCTTATAGTAGGACGATAAAAGATATGTATGATGGAGCTAAGACTCGGGTTAAGACTGTGGGAGGGGACTTAGAGCCTTTTCAGCGCGGACACACCATATTCAAGGGGAGGTGCCATTGTGTATGTTGTTCGCTCATGATATAGTTCTGATTAATGAGACGCGATGCGGCATTAACGAGATACTGGAGGTATGGAGGCAGGCCCTGGAGTCCAAAGGTTTCAAGTTGAGTAGAACCAAGACGGGATATTTGGAGTGAAAGTTCAGCGACGTGTCGGGGAAAGTGAATGTGGAAGTGAGGCTTGACTCACAAGTCATCCCTGAGAGAGAGTTTTAAGTACCTAGGGTCTATTATATAAGAAGATGGGAAGACGACGGGATGTCACGCACCACATCAGGGTGGGGTGGATGAAATGGAGGTTAGCGTCTCGGGTCCTGTGTGATAAGAATGTGCTACCGAAACTTAAAGGTAAGTTCTATAAAATGGTGGTTAGACCAGCCAAGTTATATGGGGCTGAGTGTTATCCAGTTACGATTTCACATATCCAGAAGATGAAAGTAGCAGAAATGAGGAGAGGGTGGGCGTGCTTAGATAACAAGATGTGCGAAGCGAGACTTAGATGGTTCGGGCACGTGCGAAGGAGGAGCCTAAATGCTCCGGTTAGGAGGTGTGAGCGGTTTACTCTGGCAGGTACGAGAAGAGGTTGAGGGGGGCCTAAGAAGTATTGGGACGAGGTGATTTGAAGTTAGGGGCGTTTGGTTCAAGGGATTAGGTAAGTTATTAAAGTATAAATTTTGGGAATAAATTTATTTTGGTTGAAAATATTAGCTAAAAAAAGAATTATCATTAATTTTAGTATAACTTATCTTATATAAATAGATTTTTTTTAGTATAAGTTATCCTAGAATTATAATCTGGAATATTTGTTTTAAACCAAATTATGGATAGAAAATAATAATTGTCACGTGACAACCAAGTTTCCGGCAAAATTAGGGCACACAAATATCCCAAAATTGGGGCACACCGAGATAGAGCGAGCACCACCCGCAAACAAAATTCGTTAGCCAACTTGAAGATGGCGAGAATTCATCTGCTGCGTTACTCTTGCAATGGTATTATTCCCAGCTTTATCTCCTTCTTTGCTAATTCCCATTCTGCTTCGGCAATTGCAATCAGAGATTTTTCTTCACCTCATAGCAATATTGAGAATGTCAAGTGTTTAGATGATGCTGTGTGTCTCATTCGTCGAATGGTCAGATCTCAGTCTCTTCCTTCTGTTTTTAGCTTCTCGAAATTATTAAAGACTATGGTAAATATGAAGCATTACTATGCTGTTCTTTCCCCTTTTCAAGAAATGCTGAAATTAGGCATCCCAATTAGCGATTCCATCTTGAATATAGCAATTAACAGTTATTGCCTAATGCATCGTTCTGACTGAGATTTTCAGTGTTAGCTATTTACTTGAAGAATGGCAATCCATTTGATGTTATCACCTTTAGCACCTTACTAAGGGGACTCTTTGCGGAAAATAAGATAAAAGATGCGGTTAACTTGTTAAAAAAGTTGGTGAGAGAGAATATTTGTGAGCCTGATGAAGTCATGTATTCAATTGTCATGAATGGGCTTAGCAAAATGGTCCATACTCAATAAACATTCGATTTGCTTAGGGTAATGGAACAAGGAAGCACTAAGCCCAACACATACATCTACAAAATTGTTATAGATGCCCTATGCAAAGATAGAATGACAGATCCTGCTATTAGCCTTTTTGAAGAGATGAAACAAAAAGGCATGACTCCAAACGTTGTCACATATAGTTCATTGATTGATGGTTTCTGTAAGTTTGGTCAGTGGGAAAAGGTTAGGACTTTGTTCTCTGAAATGGTAAATCTTACTATTTATCCAAATGTTCACACCTTGACTATAGTGACAGATGGACTTTGCAAAGAAGGGAAAGTTGAAGATGCTGAGGAGGTAATGAGACACATGAATGGAAAAGGTGTGGAGCCTAATGTGGTCACCTACAATGTGATAATTGATGGATATTGCTTGCGTGGTCAAATAGATAGAGCAAGGAGCCTTTTTGATTCCATGATTAATAAGAGCATTAAGCCTACCATTATTAGCTATAACATATTAATAAATGGATATTGTAAGAAAAAGAAATTGGATGAGGCCATGCATTTGTTTCATGAAATTTCTCGAAACGGATTGGAACCTGGCATTGTTACCTACAATACTATCTTGCAAGGTCTATTTGAAGTTGGAAGAATTGACTTTGCGCAAAAATACTTTGCTGAGATGCTATCCACGGGGCTCGGGCCTGATTTATGCACTAATCGCATTTTGCTCCGTGGTTATTTTCAGAATGGACTTGTTGAGAAAGCTATGCTGCTATTTCACGAGTTGGAAAGAAAGAGAGAAGATACTGATATTGAATTTTACAATGTTGTAATAGACGGATTGTGCAAAACTGGCCAGCTCGATAGAGCTCATGCTATTTTTGAGAAGCTTTCTTTAATTGGATTGTTTCCCGATGTGATAACATACAATATAATTATAAATGGATTTTGTCTAGAAGAGTTGTTTGACGAAGCTAAAGATATGCTAAGAAAAATGGAAGACAATGGTTGTGCGCCGGACAATGCAACTTCCAATATTATTGTGCGAGGATTTCTCAAGTTTAGCAAAGTTACTGAAATGACAGCCTTTCGAAGGAAATGAATGAAAGGGGCTTCTCATTTGATGCAAGTACAGTAGAGTTACTAATAGATGTTATAGCGAAGCATCCTTCTTTGCTTGACATGATACCACAATTTCACTTGGGAAATAAGAAGTGATATGTAATTCAGTTGATTTATTCAGCAATACTTATCACGATGATGCATTTTTCTTTTACCTCTGCGAAAGAAATCACATCTAATGGAATTGCAGAAGCTGGAAGAATGGAAATTAGAACATTGCTTGAGCTTTCCAAGCCAGCTTATTGAGGAGGTACATCAGTTTTGTTATTTGATTGTTGTGCCACTCTACTTTATTTTGAAATCATATTTTATTGCACTCTTAATGATGCAAGTTTCCTTATGTGTACACATTATAAGTCTAGGAATAGCATACAGGACGGCAGAGGAAGCAGAAGCTGTTGTTGCGCAGCTTGCATTAATGACACTGCTAACAGTTGCTTTTCAGAAGGTAAAACCCGTTGAAATGTATCTATTATCGGATGCCTTCATTCATACGAATGGTTACCTTGTTAACTATTTGTATTATCTTTTTTGCCCTGTGCATTTCTTGATTTGAGGAATTGTCTGTTATGTAAGGGATATTCGTAGCTTGAATTGGGTGGTGGCCTGTTAACAAAAAGATAACCAGTAGTTTCTGGAGGAATTTGTTTTTTATTCTAATATTTAGTATGGTTTGTGACAGTTTGCAAGAGTTTTCTGCTGCTATTACTGCTTTTTGTATTTTATGTTCCATCTATGATACTTCCAGAAACCAGGACAATATATCTTGTGAATGGCAAACTGAATTAGTTCCAAATATTTGAAGTTTCAGAAAAAAACAAGTAGCATTTATTTCTCTTTTCTATATTCATCCTTATTGGTGTATCATTAATTCATCCTTAAGGGGCATGTGCAAAAAACTTAAAAGACAGCTAACATGGGGATGCTGTAAAACAATTAGGATCGCTGAGCCTCACAACCTAACATTCTTTCATGTGGATGCAGTAAAGTTCAAGAAACAGGCAGAAGAAACTGCTGCCAAGGTTGCTTATATGGCTTTAACAAAATGTAAGTATTCTTCTTCTGCCTTCTTTACACTTGAGCCAAATTGTTGTTTAGGGAACTTTGTTCAGGCTAATGGTTGTTTGTCTCGAGATTAACAAGCAATGTCATTTTATTGCAGTTGGAAGACTATCGAATAATTTACTTTTGTGCAGTAAATTGACATTTTTTGAAATTTCAGGCAAATTCTTCCGTACTAGTGATCGTTCAACTGTTTCCTCGGACTTGGAAGGTGAAAATTTTAAAACTGAACCTTGCATGGATTCACTGTCCATTGCTGCTAGTCGAGAAAAATTCAGAGGTATGGCTCATAGTTTTCACCATGTACTCGTTCCGACTAATGCTATTGGTTTATTAGTACTTCTGATGCAACCAAGTATGGCTCATAGTTTTCACCATGTACTCGTTCCGACTAATGCTATTGGCTTATTAGTACTTCTGATGCAACCAAGTATGGCTCATAGTTTTCACCATGTACTCGTTCCGACTAATGCTATTGGTTTATTAGTACTTCTGATGCAACCAAGTATTCTGCTCACTCTAAACATACCTCTCCACAGTCCATAGGTGCTGAGAAAATGCTTCCAGTCCATGGTCAATGCCGATTGTGGCCTCGTGCAAGTATACTGAATTCTAGCCTGCACTCAGCAACATGGTAGCTGCTGCTAAGCTTCTCCGCTCACAGTTGGCCGGCACCCAGTGAGCTTGAATCACCTTAATTGATCCGACAAGAAGTTCTGTTTGAAATTGCCGTAGCAGTTTTACTCCTATATTCAAAAATTAGAGAGAAATAGTATGTTGGTTCTGACTCTGGCATATTGTCTGACATTGCTATATCGTCTCCTACTTTTTGTATGTTCTTCAAAAATTGTTTATTTATCCTCTATATGATCCTAAAACTTTTCACAAATATGTATTTGATTTTTCTCAGTTAAGTCCATTTGGGTTCTGAAAGATTGTAGGTCTTTTGAGACAACTTCTTCTTTCATATGATTTTGGGTCTACTTCGTCTCATTTTAACACCTTTAATTACCATTATATCGCGTATGCAGATCGGTGCATTTGGGAATTATGTAACACACGATAACCATTTCAGGCACATTCTCATTTGGACATACACATACCAAAAATCGTACGTAACTACTATGTGTTACATTGTTCAAGAGCATAAACGGCCAATTGGTTTCATGGACGAACCTTAGGGGTTGATTAACTAGAAAGCCATGGATAATGGGGAGCAAATAGTATCTCTTAGGCCCGTAACCATCAATGCAGTTAGGAAAGAACACTCGGGCATGTCATTTAGTCAAACTAAAATATGACAAGAATTTGTCAAATCCAAGACATTTGTGACATTTCTTGTAATTAAGAACTACTAGAGCTCTTGGCCAGATGCCATAGCAGCATCCTTCATTTGCTAAAAGCAAAAGGAAATAAGGGAGGGAGAGACAAGACATGGATTAATAAGAAATAAAGCTGCCGATTGAGCAGCTATTTAGCAGAGTCTCTACTCCGACGATCATTGTTTAATTGAATTTCAAATTCACTCACAATATTCAATCTGTCACCAGTAAAAGTGTGGAAAGATTAACTGACTTGGCATGTTTCTGCAGAGTTAAATATGCTCAATCTTAGCAGGTAAAGATTGTCTTATATGGGCAGCTATTGATTTAGTTTCTCTAGGCAAATTGCACAATGATTCCACTGAAGAAGGTGACTTCTCAAAAGATACAGTAACCTTTTCAGCACCTGTGGACTGTTTTGGAGATTTAGTTTCCTTAGTTTCCATGCAATGTTCAGTTTAGGAGATTCCACATTCCAAGTCCGAGGAAAACAGTTGCCTGAAATTGGAAAAGATGTCAAAAGAAAGTAGAAAAGTAAAGGAAGGTATTAGCTATTAGCTTACATTTTTGTTGAGGCTATATAAGCAACCTTGGCAGCATTTCTTCTGCCTGTTTCTAAAATATTAAATATTATAGAAAAAAATTTCAATTTGTCAAAACAACAAATAATAAAAACCAGATACAGTAGAGATAAACAAGATAGGTTGAGTAATTAGATTATGAAGTATTTTACCTTTTGAAAAGCAACTGTTGCCAGTGTCACTAGTGAAGATGTGCAACAGCAGCTTCTGCTTCCTCTGCAGTCTTGTATGCTCTAGCAGGACCTTTGAACAATTCACCAGCCACCGCTGCGGTTAACCCAAAGTATGTTGGCATCAAGAACTGCGAGCATCTTGCTGATTCTGTCAGCAATTTCTTCTGCCATGGAATCCTTGGCGAATGAATGTTGTAAACTCCAGGGCCAATGCCAGCACCATAATTCACTCCCTCGCGTAACACGGAAAGTAGTTTCTCATCTGACCTGGAGTTCTTGATGGTGTCATGTCAGCTTTATTATTCCATTTATGATTGATGTAATGTAACCAAGACCTAAGAAAATATTAGAAATAATGATTCTAAAGCAAAGTCTAAGTTATGGCAAATTGTTAACCATATTCAAAAAGTTAGAAAATGATGATACCTAAAGATAACTAAATACATAGTAAATACCACTAGAAATGATAATCCTAGACTTGTTAACCATTTGTATTAGTATCTTTTTGCCCTGTGCATTTCTTGATTTGAAGAACTGTCTGTTATGTAAGGGATATTCGTAGCTTGAATTTGGTGGATGGCCTTTTAACAAAAAGATAACCAGTAGTTTTTTTGTTATTCCAATATTTAGTTTCTGGAGGGTTTTGTGACAGTTTGCAAGAGCTTTCTGCTGCTATTACTGCTTTTTGTATTTTATGTTTCATCTATGATGCTTCCAGAAACCATGACAGTATATCTTGTGAATGGCAAACTGAATATGTTCCAAATATTTGAAGTTTCAGAAAAAACAAGAAGCATTTATTTCTCTTTTCCATATTCATCCTTATTGTTCCAATTAGTGTATCATTAATTCATCCTTAAGGGGGATGTGCAAAAGCCTTAAAAGACAGTTAATATGAATTGAATCGGTAGTTTTTTCAGTTTTCATTTTGCAAATTGGCACGGAAATTGACAGTCGATGATGTCATTCTTGCACCACTCTTATGGATTTTATACTCTCAGTAAGTGACTTTTTTTTTGTTCTCTTTATTCGTTTTGGCCCAGAGTAATACCATCAGTAACAAGAATTTCATGCAGTAACTGGCACAACATGAAGAACTTTGGTTGTCTGAATCTAACCTTCTCAAGTTGTAGAAATTGAAGGAGAAGTCTTTCATGGGGAAGCTGCAAAGTCCAAGTTGCAGAAGAAGCCAAGGTTGCTTATATGGCTTTAACAAAATGTAAGTGTTCTTCTTCTGCCTTCTTTACTCTTGAGACAAATTGATGTTAAAGCAACTTTTCAGGCTAATAGCTGTTTGTCTTGAGATTAACAAGAATGGAATTTTAGTGCAGCTGGAAGACTATCGAAAAATACTTCTGTGCCGTAAATTGACATTTCTTACAATTTCAGGCAAATTCTTTTATACCAGTGATCATTCAACTATTTCCTCGGACTTGGCAGGTTAAATTTTCAAAACTGAACCTTGCATGGATTCAATGTCTATTTCTGCTAGTCAAGAAAAGTTCAGAGGTCAGTTTTCATCATGTATTACCGACTAATGTGATTGGCATATTAGCAATGCTTCCGATGCAATCAAATATTCATGCCTTTGGCAGATGAAGAGGAGATGGCTCGCTCTAAACATATCTCTCCACAGTCCATAAGTGCTGAAAAGGTTAATGCATCTCCAATTTCACAGGGCATGTAAGAGCTCATTGTAAATGAGAAATCACATTCTTCACCTGGATCATTGTGCCATTTGCCTAGATAAACTATATCATCAGATGCAATGACACCATCCAATTCATCTACTATCTCTAATGCAAATTCTAGTGCAACGAAGATTGCAGAAACTAAAAGGTACCTCCTTTGTGACAGGGTCAGTGTACAGGTCCGTTCCGGATGAGGTCTTCCCCACAGGTACTATTGTGCTTCCTATTAGTGAAGACAAGTGGGTTGATGTGAGCTTAGAGTTCCCCAATGAGAAGTTTAGCTAATTATGTACAGTAGAGGCATGTTACTTACGTTTATCGTCCTCTTGAACACAGAGGCTAAACTGAATCAAGGATGATTATAGCAACCATCTATCTAAAGCAACTTCTATTTTATTTTCTGAAACATAAAAGTGTTTGTGGAAGTTAAGTGGTATTACTAATATGATCCTTCCGCCCCTTAAGTTACTGCTTTTGTTCTGTTTAATATGACTTTGGGCGTGGACATTCGTCCTGTTCCTACTGTTATTCTAGTCTAGTCTAAACATTACTTCTATCTCTCTCTCATTTGGCGAAACACATTGGCAGTACCATAAGACAATCTATACATGTTATGATAGAGCAGATTTACTTCAGGTTTTGTTTTCTACCTTGTACTGCATAATGTGCTTGCATAATTTTGGATTAGAAATCCAACAAAATAGCTGTTCAACCGTGGGATTATTGTTATATTCTTATTAATCTGTCTTGTGTCTCCCTCCTTTGTTTCCTTTCGCTTTTGGCGAATGAGGTATGCAGCTCTGGCATTTGGCTAAGAGCTCTAGCAGTTCTTAATCACGAGACATTTGTAAATGTGTTGGAGGTAACAAGCTCTTGTCATATTTAGTTGGCTAATGGCATCCCAGTGTATTCTTGTTCTTGCTTAACTGCTCCTTTGATTGTTACAGGCCTCAGACGCAAAGATATTATGCTTCCTGATGGATTTCCCTTTATAATGTACTATCTTTTTTGCTTTATTTTTCGAGTTTAATTAGCGCTTAGGATTTGCTTTAAAATCTCAAAACTTCATTGTTGCTCCTTAGAAAGTATTGAAAGAGACAAATTTGGCATTCTTGATTTGGTGTTATTTGACTAAATTAGTAATTGAGATTGTTGTAGTGGTGTTTGGAGGCTTTGTTTCAAATAAGATCGTTTGGAGCAGAATAAATATTACACAAAGTCTTGCCCATCAGGTAGGAGTTATAAGCGCACAAAATTATGTCAATTGGTATGAGTTATTCAACAGGATAACTAGGTTAAATGTAGCGCAAAGTCCTACCGATTTATCACGACTCCCAAACAGTTCTAAAATATAATTTTTCTCTTTGTCTGCAGCTTTAAAATCATGACGATTTGGTGTGGTTTGTTAGTATTTACCAGACTCAGTAAAAACTTTGGTTACTGCCAAACAAATTTGTTCATCTATTTGGATGAAAATGTTTATACTAAGAGTTTTGTTTAAGAAGCATTAAGTTCTTGTTGTATGCAAAGTGTTTATACAAAGTGTTTCCTAAAATAAAAAGCACTTTTTTAAAATTTATGAGATGTATGGCCAACAACCAGAACCACTTTTGAACATAAATAGAAATTTAATTTTTTCAAAACAAAAATATCCTTACCATAAATTTCTATTTAACAAACAACAACAACTTATGGTGTAATATAAAATAAAGTAAAGTAAGAGGAATTTAGATAGAGATAATTAATAAACTTTTCTTGATGATGTTATTATACAAATGAGTAGAGAAGTCTTCTATTTATAAGAAAGTTGTTTGGTGACCAATTAACTAGTCTTGGTGGCCAAGTAACAAATCTTGGTGACCAAGTAACTAGACTAGTTTATGACTAATTAATTTGCTCCCAAGTATTTTCATAATACATGGGCATTCACTCTTAATATTATTTATAACAAAACCCAATGCATCCCACTAATAAGGGGTTTGGGGAGGGTATTATGTACGCAACCCTACCCCTACCTTATGCATGTAGAGAGACTATTTCCGGTAGACCCTCGGTTTTAAGCAAGCATGCAAGTCACAACAGTATAGAGCAAAAAAAAATACAGTAGTGTAAAAGTCGGGAAAGGATTAACAACGACTAGGAAGGAGAGCAACCAAAACACATGCGATACCAGGTAATAATAAAATTTTAAGCATATGGGAAATACTAAAATACGCAACCAGTAGTGAAAGGAAAAAAGGGAACGTGCATTGCCTACTAGCCTTCCACCCTAATTCTCGCCCTCCACGTGACGCTTATTTAACAAACTATCATTATTAATTAGTCTTATTTATCTTTAGTTGTAAATAAAACACTCTTTTCTTATTTTCCTCTTTGGTTTCAATGTCTGTTTTCGTCTCCTTTTTCTTTCGATTCAAAACTTTAATATATATTTTTTATTTTATGTTTTATCTATTACTAGTAACTAAATAGAAATTTCACTAAAGTCTTTCATAATGAATATTTAAAATCATTTCTCACTATAAAAGATTTTAATTGTAGAATGAACCTCGTCTTTTTTCACAATTTAATACTCAAAAGTACTTTTTTAGGAGATTGGCCAAAAATGATTTGTTTATCGAATACTAAAAAAATTTAGTATTTCTCAAATGAACTGACCAAACAAATTCTGCTTATCTGAAAAAGTATTTCTCAAAAAAGCTAGTTTGACAAAAGAACAACTTAAAATAAGCAATATTTTGTAGCATGGCTAATAAGCTAACTTCAGGGTTGAATTGTTTTAAGGGATAATTGTTTTTACAAATTTGGATTTTCTTAAATAAAGCGTTTTGATAAATTAAGCTTATTAAATTTTTGGCTCTTTTCTATAATTTAGAGGCTTTGAAACTTTTGCTTGTTTCTAAATTTTAATATTGCAATATTTATGTCTTTTATTTTTAACTGTTATTTTAGTGTTATGAATCTTCAACTGGGCTTACTAGTTGTAATTAGCATTAGCAAGTGTTTACTTATGTATCAACTCAAATATGTATTGTGTTTGCAAAAAAAGAAAAATATTTATTGAGGAAATAACACAAAATACTCATAACAACCAAAATATTTACCCGTTCTTACCTAGTTTTAAACGTGTTATAATATATACCTATTTAACTAATACTAATTATCAACCTACCCATCCCCCAATCTTCTTTGATCATTTGCTAAATTTTTCTTCTTATTTTAAACACCACCCTAAACCTTCATAGCCGTTGCGAAGAGCAGGGGCAATTCAGAGGCGGATGTAGTATATTATGTACGGATTCAACTGAAGCCATAACTTTCGACGCGGAGTAAAAGTTTGTATGTAAAAATTTATTAAAATTGCAAAAATAGTAGATCTGAACCCATAACTTTAAAAATATAATGGGTTCAATGTTAAAAACTTTAAAATTGAACTCATATGATTTAAATCCTGGATCCGCCTCTGATTTAATTGAACACATAACGTTTGACGCGGATTAAAAATTTATATGTAAATCGCAAAAATAATAGATAATGGGTTCGATGCTAAGAATTTCAAATTTTGAATCCATAGAATTTAAAGTCTGAATTCGCCGTTAGCCAAAGAATGGTATACCATGATAATCTTCTTTTTCAACTGACCATCTCGTTGTTATCACGTCAAAGTAGTGGATGTAATATTAGATCTGAAGAAAAAATAACTGATTTGTGTTATGAATATATTATATTATGGATGTTCATTTAGTACTCCGTTGTAAATAAGCTTCCTGAAAAAGTTTATCCATATGAGACTCCGCCGTAAATATGTTTATCTATTTAGTACTCTATTGAAAATAAGCCTCCTGAAGAAGCTTATCCTTTCGGTACTCCGTTATGGATAAATATTACCCATGATAGAAGATTATCTATATCTGGCACAATAACTTAGAGTAGCAGCTTACACAGCAGCTTGCAACATCAGCTTACAAGCAGCTTGCAGTAGCAGCTTACACAACAGCTTGCAGTAGCAGCTTACACATCAGCTTTCTTTCTTCTATAAATAGAGGAGAATTTAGTTCATTATGTACATAAGTTTGAAGTTTGAATAATATATCAGTTTCTCTCTATACTTGTCTTTACTTTACTGTCTTTATTTTATAACACGTTATCAGTACGAGACTCTGCCATCTCGAGAAAATACTTTGAAAGTATCAGAGGTACGAACTTTCTTTTTCTAAATAATATCAAATCTTTCTAAACTTGAGTTTGTAGCCCTGGATATATCGGGCAAAAAGCTACATGTCTTGGGTGCTTGATGCCAAAATTCATCTTGATGCTATGAGTCTGGCAGACACCATCAAAGATAAAAATCAGGCATCAAACCAAGACCGTGCCAAAGCAATGATATTCCTACGCCATCACCTTGATGAGGGCCTGAAAATGGAATATCTTACTGTTAAAGATCCAGTCATACTGTGGAGTAATTTGAAAGATAGATATGACCACCTGAAGAT